TACTGTAAATTTGATAGGGAGATCTCTTTTTATTATTGAAAACAAAAAAACTATTAACCAGTGAGATGCGAATTTTGTACTGGTCCGCTAGGTTTTATACGCGGTGTAAAACTAAAGTGCGGTTTTTAATCTTCAGTCTAATAAGCTGTCTCAGAAAATGTGAGCGGTATTAGTTTTAATTTTTCCAAAAAATCGCAAATTTGCAAAATAATTTTGATTGGTGATTAGTGAAGCGGTATTCTAGATCCGGGTTTGAAATCCGCATCCGCATGGTCTCCAATCACAGCCTAAAGGTCCAAATGGTGACAATAAATTAGCGGTGCGGAACAAATATATTAGATAGTGCGGTGCGGTTAAAATGCGGTTCAAAAGCGATAAGTGGATTACGTAAAATAAACAGTGCGGAATAAGCAGGACATAAGTTGAATGGTGATTATAGTAGGTGCGGATATTATAATTATCGAATTTCGATTCTTTTTAGAAAATATTTCAATGGGCAAAAAATTTTTTTTAATGAAGATTTATCAATCTATACAACTAACTCTCATTAATTTTTGCCCAATTTTTTAAAACTTTTTAAAAAAAAAAAATTAAATAACCTAACAACTCTAATACCGCACCATAATTGAAGCTTGTTGATTGCATTGTTTTCCTTTGTAAAACTGATAATTGCGGTTTTCTAATGGATACGCCCCGCACTTAACACAAATATGTTGATTGGAGACTAAAATATCTTTGTTTAATAACCAAAATTTAATAACCGCATATGGGGTTTATAATAAAGAAAAATTTCAAAAAATGCCACTTTTCATATGCCACTTTACAAAAATGCCACATTTTTATAATCTTTACAAAAATATCACTTTTTCAAAATTATTTATTCATTATATCATTTATATTTTGGTTAACTATGTTGTATTAGGGTTTAGTTTTGAGGGTTTAAAGGGTTTTAGGGGCAAAAGATTTTTTAGGATTTAGAATTTTAAGATTTAGGCTCTAAAAAATCATAATTAGTTGCATTTTTGCAAATGAACACCAAAAATGACATTTTTGCAAATGAAAAAACAAAAGTGGCATTTTTGCAAATGTCTTATATAATAAAACCAATAAAACCAATGGGCTTTCCACTAATGAGCTTTTTATAATAACCAAAATTTCTGTTTAGGGTTGTTTCGTTTCGGTTTCTTCCTCGAGAGGCAACAATGGTCGTTTCCTATCTTCCCTGCGATCTCGAATCGGAAATACTAGCTAGGGTTCCGACCAAGTCTCTCGTAAGATTGCAAACAACTTGCAAGCGATGGTACGCTTTGTTCAAGGATCCGAAATTCGCCAAGAGAAACCAGTCTAAATCAGCAAGAGAGTTGATCTTACTGATGAGTTTTGGTGTTTATTCAATTAGCGTCAATCGCCATGGAATTCACAACGGGATTGATCCATCCATTGAGTTTAGAGGTAAACTTAACACTCTAAAGGGTTCAAAAGATTTCAAAATATCTGAGATTTTTCACTGCGACGGTTTGATATTATGCCTTAGTAAAGGAAACACTAGAATCGTTGTTTGGAACCCCTGTACTAGTGAAACCAGATGGATCAAACCTAGGAGTTGTAATGTGGATCAAGATTTGTATGCTCTAGGATACGGAAACAGCAGCTACAAGATCTTGAGGTTTTGCTATTATCAGAACGACAAGAATCTCCGGGTCGCTGAGTTTGAAATCTATGACTTTAGCTCTGATTCATGGAGGGTTATTGATGGCTTAACTGGTGACTGGTTCGCATCATCTCAGGGCGCGTCTTTGAAAGAAAATGCATATTGGATTGCTTTCGATAAAGAAATCGGCTTTTTCTTGCTTAGTTTTGATTTCACAACAGAGAGATTTGAACGTCTCCCTCTTCCGTTTGAGAGCGATAATTGGGAAGATACCGCGGTTCTATCAGTTGTTAAAGATGAAAAATTCTCAGTGTTACATCAGGATATTCTTTCATTTTCAAAAGTGATGAAGATATGGGTGAGTAATAAGGTTGTTGACGCCAAAGACATGTCGTGGAGCAACTTCTTAGTTGTGGATTATGAAAAATTTATGTTACCGAGTGTGACGAATGTGAGGAGCTTCTTGTTGGACGAGGAGAATAAAGTGGCAGTGTGTTGTGATGTATACATGGAAGATATGGACATAAGAGATGGAAGATTAAGAAAGACCAGAATTTACATTGTTGGAGAGGATATATATAAAGAAGCTTATATAGAGATTACAAAGGGCAAAAGAACATTGTGGAATTGGTCACTTCTCGTCAGTTATGTTCCTAGTTTGGTTCACATTCACAAAAACACACTCAAAAGGCAAAAGAAAATGAAACAAAAGGAGGTTAGTCAAAATGATTTAATTAGTTTTTTTTTCTTGCCTTTCGTTTTGGTCATGTTCGTTTGAGTGAGATTAGTCAATTATTTTAGGGTTTGTTAATCAATTATTCGTTATTCCTCTTCTTTTGCTTTTGAATTTGGATCGGTGATCCAATGATCTGACTCAAATACTTTCTATGATGCTTGTAGAGAAAAACTAAACATTTCCCATATAGAGAAACTAAACTTCAGCACATGAGCCTTCACGATTCATCATTCATACCATGTTCCTTAGTTTTATGATGTAATGCTTAAATCTCACATAAGGATAGTTTTCTTGTAACGCAAGCCCGAGAGTTTCACATCAAAAGACTGCTTTGGCTATATTTGTTTCTTTTTGTATTTCGGGTTAGAATTATCTTTTAATTCGGTCCTTGTGTGTGTGAGGTTTTACAGGTAGGGACGGGAAGCCATCCTCGTAAGAAGCGTTAGCAGAATCGAAGTGAAACTCAAACCCAAAGACAGAACTGAAGCATATCCAGATCTTAAGGAAGATTGAATCAACTAAACCTATGTTTGAGCTTTTACTCTTGTTTTGGCTATGAAAAGTTTAAAGTAAATACATTGCTTTTGTAGTTCATTTGTGACTTTGGAGTCGCAAACTTCCAATGCTTAAATGAAGTTTCTAGAACACACTGGCCAATCCACCATCATATTCATTCTCGTCTCTCTTCTACTCTGAGTAAGGGTTTGACTCTGAAATAGTTGTACTCTATGTTACTCTTGTGAGGGGTCCAAACATCACGCGTATCATCTTAAAAATTTACGATTACATTCCTATATTAATAATTAAACATAAAAAAAAAATCTGTTTTGCATTATAGTTTAATTTTCTCGAAAATTTACAATATCATTC